GCCAGCAAAAGCCAACAGAAGCTAGCAAAAGCTACCAGAAGCCACCAGAAGCCAACAGAGATACCTAATGCCTAAACGTGAAAAAAAATCCCAAAAAAAACGAAAAAAAAACCTAGAAAAATATGAGTTTCTCTTGCAGGCCAGTCTGGGTCTATGGCATGTGTTTGCCCAAATGTTTAAGAAATGTCCAGCTTGGAACTGTTGAATGCCAAGAAGTTGATTCCTTGGTTATGTTGCTTGATTCCCAAAAATATCAAAAGAATGTGCTATGGACCTCAAACCTGTTGGCAATTTGTCAGTGTGAACCTTCACAAAGCCTGTTAAACCGCCCACTGGCGTTCTCAATGTCGTTTGCAACTGCAGGCCACAAATGCTTCGTCCAAACGCCGCTTGCGCCTTTTGGATGTTCTCTTGAAGCTCTTTGAAATTCATCTCCTGGATTAGCTGGCCATACCTCAGACAAAAACAAACGCGGCAGCACAGCTCTGAACCCAGCAAAAAAATGCAAAACAAAAAACAAACGCTAAAGTTGCCCACCAGGATCAGAGAATGACGGTCGTTGACGGTGCGCGTTCAGATGGACCAGTGCGTGGACCAGTGAGGGCAACAGTGCTCGCCGATGACCACCGATCCAAGGAAGACACACCCATGCAATAGCAATGGGTGTGAACCCCTTTTCGTCCAAGGGCTGATGATCTTCCCCCATCAGAGACGTTCTCATCCATGACTGCGTTTCATCAGAAACCAAAGTTAGAGAATGTTGTCTTGCAAACATGTCACTCTGAATGGTTCTGGCAGACACTTGTTTGCAAGTTCCAAAGGTTTCGAGAGTTAAGAGCCCCACAAAGAAATCCCCTTGGGTGTCCTCGAATTGTCCAACCCCGATAATATGGAGACTTGGGGACTTGCAGTCTACTTCGCAAGTTTGCAGTTGCTGGCTAGAACATCGAAGAACCCGAAAAGGGCAAAGATTAGATCGTTTTCTTCTGTGAAAGAGACGAACAAAAACAGAGAAGGCAAGGGCCCCTTTATTTTCATGAGGCCCCTCTAGAGGGTCCCTTACTGTCTCTTGTTCATCTCTTTGCTCCAACAAAACATTTTTCCATCCTTTTCCGCACCCAAAGTGTTCATATGGAGTATGGTGGTAACCGGGTCGGGATTCCAGTCAACCGGGATCCGGTCCGCCCCCCCACCGGGTCAGCGGCTCAGCCCCGTCAGCCGGCTGACCGGACTGACCGGCTGACCGAGAAGTTGCTACAAATGATTTAAAACAAAAAACAGTTGAAACTTTAACTTGTTTTAAGAAGAACTGATTGAAGCAGGAATCGATTTGAGCTGGCCGGTCAATCGGGTTGGCTACACTTCAAGGCCCACAAAGTACTCCACCTGCCACGAAATCTGCACTTCAAGCTCCACAAAATCACTGTGCCTGCCACGAAATCTGCAGTGCCTGGCAGATTCCACTGATGGAGAGGTCATAGATCCAGTGAAGGCGAGGTCATGGAGGCCTACAGCGCCTTGCAGACTTCAATGATGGAGAGGTCATAGATCCAGGAAGGCGAGGGTCATAGATCCAGCGAAGGCTATTTCGGAGGCCTCTCTAGGGTGAGACTGAGAAGTGGGCCTAGATGGCCTAGATCAGACAAGGCTTGACATTGTCAACATGTTGGTCATCGTCGCCTTTTCCAACAACAGAACTATTTGCACCACTCGCTGTCGCACCCGGCTGCTTGTTCCATGCCTTCTCGTGCCTAGAAGGGGTTCTTGAAAGCCTTCTCGCCACAGCTTTTGCATCGAGCATCAGCAGCTCGCCACCAGTATCCGTCATGGAAGCACTGCGCCAAGAAGTTTTGGTACACCGTCAGGCCCGGCGGTGTTCCTTTTGCATCTCCACACTCCGATGTTGGAACCACTGCATAGGCGCCCCGGATCACTTTGAATGCATCAGCACTCCCCCTTGTCTGGATGGGTCACAAGACACATCTTGCGATACGCAGCTTTGGCTGCGGTCTTCTCCAAGCGCAGAAGGCCAAGGGCGCACGTGAGATTCATGGCGAGCGAGCAGCGCCTTGCCCCAATTGCCACACTGGTTTTGATGGGCCTATGTAGCTGCGCTTGGTTTGAAACAAAGACAAGGAATGGCCCACAAGTTTCAATCCGAAGGCCTTCACCTCTGGATGCCATGAGGCTTTAGTGCCTGGCACATTCCAGTGATAGAGGTCATAGATCCAGCGAAGGCGGGGTCGTCGTTGCAGGCCTCTGAATTGAAGAATAGGCGAATGTAAGCCTTCACCTCTTTGTGGAGAAGTAATGAGTGAAGGCTTGGAGACCTTTAAAAGAACAGACAGGATGCCTCCAGGCGAGACTTCAGCGCTGGCAGATTCCAGGAGACGTCATCTAGTGAAGGCGAGGTCGTTGTTGGAGGCCTCTGGCAGGGCCTCTGGCAGGTTGCCCCGAAATCTGTACCTCAAGGCGCCCAAAGTACTGCGCCTGCCTCGAAATCTGGACTGCAAGGTCCACAAAGTACTGCGCCTGCCACGAAATCTGCACTTCAAGACCCAAAAAGTATTGCGCCTGCCACGAGATCTTTCGCTTCAAGGTCCACAAAGTACTGCGCCTGCCACGAAGTCTGCGCTTCAAGGTTCACCACGCATTGCGACTGCCCATGAAATCTCAAGGTCCACAAAGTACTGCAACTGCAACGAAAAAGAAATTGCATAAGGTCCACAAAGCACAGCGCCTGCCACGAAATCGGCACTCCAAGGTCCACAAAGTACAGCGCCTGCCACCAAATCTGCACTTCAAGGTCCACAAGGTGCTGCGCCCGCCGCGATTCTGAAAACGAGCCACATGTCCAAAAGTCACGATTCAATTTACCTGCCACGAAGTCAGAGCATGCCGAAAACCACCACCATGTCAAAAGTACTGCGCCTGCCACAAAATTTGCACACCAGCATCAAACTGCTCCAATCTCCTGCGCCTGTCACGACAAGTCGACTTCAGAGCACCAAAGCACGAGGTTTCCCACGCGCCTGCCACGAAAACTGATCACCAAGTCCAAAAATGCGCACGGCGCCACAACGGGAGCGCACCTCTGCGCAGCAGTCCTGAGGCCAGCGTTTCGCGCGACCCTGCGGAAAGAAGCAGCAGATAATCCAGAATTGTATTCACCCTTCACCAGGCTCGCAACTAGTTGCGCCTGCATCGAAAGAACATCCTCGGCAGGCAACGGTGACATTGAATCAGCATTTGCATCACTGCGAGGTTGCCCTTGAGTCAGAGTGCATCGTTGCCGGCTCCAGCGCCACCAGTCACACCATTTCTGCGCGATGCAATGCCTTGACCACTTCCATATATATGGTTCCATATATATATATATTATATATAGTTCACTCGGAGTTTTACCGTTGCCATGATTGAACAGACTCCATCACAAGCCGCCTGACACCATCGCCCAGTTCTTGCGGTAGGCCTGCAATAATAGGGACCTGGCACCGCTATCCGAGAACACAAGCGACCGAAACAGCCACAAGCGCCGGAGCGCCTGTATTTGCCACAAGCCATCATGTGGCTAAGGAGCTGGGTCTCTTCGACCACCATGCCGCAGCGATTGCGGCATGGGTGGAAGATGCGGCCGCCCAGGCCCAAACCAAGCCGGCAAAACAATCGAACCTTTCAGCAAAGTGCGGCTTCAATGCAAAGCACTTTGGCAAAACACGTTGGCTCTGATCGCCTCCTTCTCCTCGACGGTCCGCTTTCTGTTCCCCCCCTGCGACGGCACCCTGGCGCCGCTGCCCGGGAGCACGTCATCGAAACAGCCACCCCAGTCCCACCTCTCAGAGGGTACGGCTGGATCCTTAGGGCGTATATACCTACATTAGTCAAGCCTCTGACACCCTCCCGCATGCGGCTCCGCCCTTTCCACGGCATCAGTCGCAAGCGCCGGAGCGCCTGAGCCTGCCGCGCGCGGCCATGTGGTCGCCAAGCTGCTTAGCTTGGTCAACCACCGTGCACACTGTTGGCAAAATGTTCTCCACTGGCTCAGTAACAAATTGAAATCTGAATTGGTCGTCTCGATCAGAGCTCCCTCATGCAGTCACCGCCAGGATATGGGCATGCTGAATCAGGGTCACGTTTCTGCGCCACGCCGTTACGCGAAAATATCAAGTATGCTCAAGTTCTCTAACAGCACCAAACATTCAAAAGAATCACGAAGCTTTAAACAGATTAGTCCTAAAATGGATAGGCCTGCGAGCTTTCAAAACCGCGACAGCGTCTTATATGTTTGCTGTCGTTTGGGTTGAAACGTTTTCGTTTGTATTAAGCGGCGCCGTTTGGCCTGCAACCCTTTAGTTTTGGGCGTAATTGTCATTTGGCGCTCAATTTGCGCGCACCTGTATCGCCTGACCTCCAAAGCTCTCGTTTGCGAAACGTTGTCGTGTTGCTGTTTGTGGGTCGCCTTGCTGGATATCCTTGTGGAGCACTCTTGTGGGAAACGCTTGTCAAGCATGTCAACCGGAACCCGGTCAACCGGGACCGTCAAACACGATCAGCCGGCCACGGTCAGAACCTATCCACGGCCGGCCGCCCTTTAGAGGGCCCCTTTCATCTCTTGCTCCAAAAACATGCGCTTGTCCATCCTTTTCCGCATCCAAGATGTTTCTAGTAACAAGGGCATCGCTACTAGTAACTAAGAGCATTACTATACTAGTAAAAAGAAGCTTCTAGGAACAAGCTACGCTTCTTCGCCCCCTTGGAGACCCTAGCAACGGACTTGCAGGTGGACCACTCGTAGACCTGTCCCTCCTGTGTCAAAACGCGCTCGAGCTCGCTTCCGCGCTCGCCGAGGACTGGACACACCCATGAGTCTCACCATCTCCTTCCACAACTCGCCTCCGGCCATGACGACCGCCTTAGACTCGACGCCACGATGAGATGATGGGGGACTGGGGATGGGGCGAAGGGGGAAGGCACTGGGCATAGGGCTGAGGGTGGCTTCGGGGTGGGTTGGGAAGAGGTGTCAAGATATGTGTGTGTGTGCCCCTTGTAGTGACAGAGAGCAGGGGGAGTGGGGCCGATTTGCCTATCCAGTCCAACGAAGCTATGGCATTTCGGTGGAT